GGGTCAATCGACTCTGGGCCCCTGAGCGCAGTGCTCTCTGGGGAATATGTGGGGAAAGGCGGTCCCTCAGATATGTAGGCCCCTGATGATATAGGGCTTTAAAGGTAAGAACCAGCACCTTGAAATGAATTTGGTATGCTATCAGCAGCCAGTGCAATGCCTTTAGCACAGGCTGGATGTGCTCCTGAATTGGGAGTCCCATCAACAGCCTGGCCGCAGCATTTTACACCAGCTGCAGATTTTGGATTTGAGACAAGGACAGCCCCATGTAGAGAGCATTACAGTAGTCCAATCTCGGGGTGACCATTGCGTTGATCACTGTTGCCAAGTCGTTGAGTTCGAGGAAGGGAACCAACTGCCTGATCAAAGATGATAAAAGGCTGATTTGGCAGTGGCTGCTACCTGGGCCTCCATCATTAAGGAAGCATCCAGGAGCACTCCCAAACTCCTAACCTCCAGCGCTGGCACCAAAGGCGCCCCATCGAAGGTTGGAAGAGGGATCCCTACCCCCAGACCACCCCGGCTCAGGCAAAGGACCTCCGTCTTCGTCGGATTCAGTTTCAGCCGCCTCAGCCTAAGCCAACCAGCCATCGCTTGTAACACCCTATAGATCTTCCAGTTTGGAGGCAGACTGATCACCCAACAACAGATTGAGCTGGGTGTCATCTGCATACTTGTGACATCCCAGCCCATGCCTCCGGGCAATCTGGGCAAGGGGGCGCATGTAGATGTTAAAGAGCATCAGTGGCAACACTGCCCCTTGAGGCACTCCACATTCTAGTGGGTGCCTCTGGGATAGCTGACCCCCTAGTGCCACCCTTTGTCCCCGACCTTGGAGTAAGGAGACAAGCCACTATAAGGACAGCCCCTGTACCCCAGAGTCGGTGAGGCAGTGGAGAAGTAGCTGATGGTCGACCACGTCAAACGTTGCTGACAGGTCTAACAGCAACAGCACTGCCGATCCACCGCGATCCAGGTGCCTTCGCAGGTTGTCTGTGAGGGCCACCAGTGCTGTCTCTGTCCCGTGTCCCAGGCGAAAGCTGGACTGGAAGGGGTATAGAGTGGAAGTGTCATCCAAGAAGCCCTGTAACTGTGTGGTCACAGCCCTCTCTTTATCTTGCCCAAATAGGGCAAGTTGGAGACTGGCCGATAGTTTGCCAATTCAGCCGGGTCCAAGGATGGTTTTTTCAAGAGAGGGTGGACCTCTGCTTCCTTAAGTGCCCCAGGGAACTGCCCCTCCAGGAGGGAGTTGTTGACAATCTTCTTTGGGCACCTCAAAATCCCTCATGGCCAGCTTTAATTAGCCATGAAGGGCACGGATCAAGGGAGCAAGTGGTAGGGCGTACAGTTAGGAGCAACTTGTCAACTTCCTCTAGGTTGAGCAGGCCGAAATGATTCATAACCTAACTAGAAGACGTGCATGGAGCCTTAAGCTCACTCACTGTATCAACTGTGGTGGGGAGATCACGGTGGAGCAACAAGACTTTATCTGCAAAATAGCTCGCAAAAGCCTCACAGCTAATGTCCAACTCCCTAGCATTTGGTTTGCCTTGTGGCAAAACAGTAATGGACCGAATCTTTCTAAATAATTGTGCTGGGCGTGAGTTTGCAGATGCAATTGCAGCTGCATAATATTCTCGCTTAGTGGCTTTGACTGCCATCTCATAGGACCTCATAAACGTCCTATAGGATGTTTTTGTAGCTTCGTCGTGGGCGCGATGCTACTGTCTCTCTAGCTGTCTTAGCCCTCACTTCATCAGCTGCAACTCCTGGGTGAACCATGGAGCAAGCTTAGAGTGAGGGCGTCGGGGGATGATCTTGTTGATGGCTGTCGAGAGTCGGTTATGCCAATCCTCTACAAGCTCATCTAACGAGCCGCCAGGGGGCTTTGGATCCCGGAAAGCCATTTGAAGCCGCATAGGGTCCATTGGGCTCCGCAGGAGAGCCAATATAGGCTCGTTGACCAAACAGGGCTTCAGTGAGACATTCAGATGGGCCTTCAAGGTAAGGTGGTCCGACCATGGCACTGCCAAAGCAGCAATCCGGTCCACTTTAACCCCCATCGTGAAAATCAAATCAAGCAGATGCCCAGCTCAGTGAGCGGGAGTCATCACAAGTTGAGAGAGTCCCAGTGCCACCATGGACGACACCAGGTCAAGTTGCCTGAGGACATGTTATTGGCATGGACATTGAAGTCACCCAAGACTATCAGTCTAGGGTGTTCCAACACCCAGCCTGATACGCCCTCCACCAGGGATTGTAGGCTATTGGTCGGTGCATTGAGCAGTTGGTACACCAGCCAAATTGCCACACTCTCCCTGGTTTCCCACACCAAGCCAGCACATTCTATGCCTGTGATCCTCAACGGCGGGAGCGCCTGGAAGGAGTAAGCCTCTTGAATGAATACTGCCACTCCTCCCCCCGCCCCCAGTCCATGATTGGTGAAGGACCAAGAACCCAGGAGGGGCCAACTGGGAGACAGCTACCGTCTCCCCCTTTCGTACCGAGGTCTCAATCACACACGCCAGGTCTACTGCTCTAGCAGAAAGTCCTGAAGGACTGTGGTCTTGTTATTTATAGACCTGATGTTACACAACGCCAATGTCGGAGAGGGGTCAATCATCCTAGCCCCACCACCTACTATCTTTGGGATGGGACACAGGCTGGAAGGGGGCCATGCTTCTCTATTTCTCCATCCCCTTCCCTTAACTCCATACCTGGGCCCACCACTATACTTTCCCCTCCCCAGGAGCACTGGAATCGCTTGCCCGGTCATCATCTCACCTGCTGGTCTGTTTCAATGTATCTGGAAAAGTGTGCTTTGTTGCTTCAGACCAACATGGCTACCCACCTGAATCTGTGTTTCCTAGTTAGGAGGGGGGAAACACTAAGGGAGATGTGCACTCAGAGCTTGAAATGTGGTGGTGACTGGTAGTGAGGTAGGATAAGGTGTTAGTGGTACTTTACCAAGTGAGACTAGGGAACTGCAGGTCAATTTGAAACAGGAAAACCCTAAATATAACTAATCTACTACCCTTCATTTAAAACGAGATAATGTATCAAACAGTAGGCTGCCCTGTGCCCACCAATTTATCCCAAAGCCCATTTTGCCAACTCAGATACTGATAATTTCCCAGAATCCTCTCTTCCACTGGCAGAAGTGCCTTGCCTGTATACAAAAATTAGCCGGAATCCAACCCAATGTAAAACCTTATTAATGGAGAAATGCTTCCTTTAAATTCACACGGAAAAGTTATGGAGAAATAACAAGATCTAAAACACAGAACTAAATTTACATTAGTGATCCCAGACAACAACAACAAAACCTTTCTAACAAAAGATGCTTTACTACTTAGGGTTTTTAAAAATTGTTTATTTAGAAAAGGCAGAAAAGGGCTGAGGTCCCTTCTCAAATGTTTTGTTCTGAGAGGAAAAACATTCCCTTAACCAGAAACCAAAAGCATTAAACCTTGTGTGCATTACCATTCAAAGATCTTGCATTAGTTCACTTTAGTGCTGTCAGTTTTTTAAAAGTGCATTTGACCTTTAAGTATCATAAAAAGACAACTACATATATGTTTTGCAGCAATATTGTTCGGGAACAAACAGTAACAAACCGGCAGTGGCCACAGCCTTGAAACCAGTCCCTTACAAACAGCTTTGGGGTAGCAGCCTATATCAATTTCATGTTTCTGGTCTACTGTTAAACTCTTACAAAGACTTGTTCCTTGGGTTCCATTCAGTTCCATGAACAGCCTTACAGCAGGCTAATTAAATGGCTATGAAATTGACAGAAATGTTAAATCTCATGAATCCTTGAGATCCATTGTGCTGAAGATCCTGGAGTGAAGAATTCCAGTTTAGAGCCTGAGTTTTAGTAGAGAGGAATGACAAATGAGAACAAGTGCCTCCATCTGCCTTGCTGTGTGCTGAGGAAGCACAGTGCATCTAGAGTTGCTTACTGAAAGCTACTGAGCCAAATGCGATAGGATGGCTTAAGCAAAATCTCTGTACATCCTCAACACTAAAGTAGTGCAAGTTTGCTACTGGAGTAGGAGTGACACGAAGAGGGTCCTAATGTACCCGGTTTTCACAGGCAAGCTTACCACTGAATCTGAAGGACCCTTCACAGGGAGTAAAGCCTTATTAAATAGCCTTGCATAGGATTCTAGGTAGACCTGTTTAGGATGCCACTGTTAGTTTGAGATTGTTTAGACCATTTTTGCTAGAGATACTTAGGACTCTAAGGCTACACACACGCAAAAGGAAGTCTCACGGAACTTGGTGGGACATACTTCAACTAACAGAAGAGAACCTTTCCTGCATCAGACCAAAGGGTAAGGTTACCCAGCTCAAGGTGGAGCCTGGCGTCCTCCCAGAATTACAACTGATCCCCAGATTACAGAGATCAGTTCCCCTGGAGAAAATGGCAGCATGGAGTCCGGAAGAAACAGAAGTTCTGGCGTGACATCCCTGCTTGGCTCCCTCCCCTCCCCAGGCACTGCTTCAAATCTCCAGGAATTCCCCACCCCAGAGTTGGCAACCCTGATCCTTCACTCTCCAGATATGGCACATTATTTTACCCTTAAAATGATTGGAAGAACAGACTAATCCTGAGGGTTCGGTTTGGTATATGGCTACTGGGAAGACAATGGGGCACTGTGGCTTTATTACCTAATTATAACATACATACACCATACAAAGCGTATCTGTAAGTGTGCACCTACAGACTAACCCTTCTTTTCAGTGGAAGCCCTGAGTCAGTAAACAGAACCCCCCCCCCCCTTTCTATCAGCTTCAAGGCAAGCTCACGAGTTTCATTATACAGTCAGAAAGCAAAATAGATTTCAAGCCACCCTCTTTGAGAAGTCCCTCCCTAAGTAGAAAAGGGTGACGCTGCAGTCACACACACTAAATAATCCACTTTCAATGCGCTTTCCAATTGGATTTTGCCAGTTCACACAGTAAAAGTGCACTGAAAGTAGATTGAAAGTGGATTATTTAGTGTGTGTGACCGCATCCTAAATGACCGGCCTCCTCTGACAGTATTTGCTTGTGTACACACATTTTGGCTATGACTAAGCGCAGTAACAGTGGGAGACAACCAGATCTGATGGATGGGGCATAATTTTCTGGGAAACTCTCCCATATAAGCCCCATTGAGAGGAATGTGACAACCATGTTCTTGTGCAACTCTCATTCATGTCAATTACGTGTATGCAGGAAAACTTCCCAGTAGATTACGCCTTGAATTACTTAATCGAGAAGGAGGTCCCATTGGGATTTTCTGCCTCAAATATCAAACTCTCTTCGGTTGGCCCTACAGACATAGGCCCCCAATTTGGCCCTCAAGTGGATTAATGTAGGTCTATCTGGCTAGACCCCAACAACTGTATAACTGGGCTACCTCCTGATGCCATTGATGACCTCTCACAGCTTTCTGTTTTAGAAAATACTAGAGTCCCTAGACAGTGTTCCTTTCCATTTGAAACCATTTCAGACTTTCGTCTTTCTAAATACCTTAAAACATGCTAACAACCTTCAGGTCAGTGTTTTCAGAGATAGCAGAACTAGAAGAACAGAATGTAAGATGAGGGGCCGGAATCATGAAAAGCAAGCAAGGCGAGGAGAATTAAAGCAGAGTTGTATTCCAGTTCAAACACTGCTATTTTGACAAGCATTGGAAGAGTGGATCAATTCTGGAGGACTTGGCAAAGCTAGCTAACTCTGGCAGCCAGCTCAGCAAACATCTTGGGTGGATTTTAAGGCTGGCCTTGGCATCAGTCACTCTGCAGGAAGGAGATTCCAGAGCGGTTGCCATTTCCCTAACCACCTACTTCTGCAGATCATTTTAGAAAACCGTAACCTTCAGACAAGAGCAGGGAAAGTGTGTCTTCATTTTTGACCTTTTGCTTTGTGCGTGCTTACATCTAAGGCTGGCACTGGTCATCCTTGATATTCCTGTATAAGCATTCACATACACACAGATGACCAAATTACCCACGTGTAATTATCACCCTCATATAGCTTATGTAAATCTTCTGAGTTTGCTCTAGATAGAGCCTTGTAGACTTCCAAGGGTGAAGATGCCCCACTGGAGATAAACCTAAACATACCTCTCCACTGGCATGCATACAATTGCCACGGTTTGGTAGGCTTGGAAGGTATTCCTGGAAAAACAACATGGCCATTCCTTTTTATCAGCCCTGACCTTTTATTTTCTGCAGCGTAGATCAAAAGGGGTTTAAGACACCATTGGTGACCCATATGCAGGCACTTTGGAGTAGGTTGGGTTTGCTATGCTCTGTGGCTTCAGTTTTAAGCCTTTACAGTTCTTGAAAATACCCTAGAAATGCAGAAATAATTGACTTTGGTTACTTCTAGTACATATAACCCCACCTGTTCCTCATCAGGCTGCTGAAAGTGGAAACATACGAAACTGATTTCACAGGAGCCCGCCTCAAAGTGTGTGGCAAGCATGAACATTTCCGTGCTATATTCGAAGACCCCAGCAGTATTAAAAACAAGATATCCTCCCTGGTGCTTGGGGGGGGGGGGGAAGTGACCAGTCGATTTCATCGTGAGTTTAGTGGTATTATTCTGGCTGACGTGGTATTATTCATTCATTGGTACGCTTATGCCACTCTATCAGGAAGCTACTGCAGTGATTACATAAACCAATGGATGAAGTCCTTCCAGTCTTAAAAACCAAAATGTATCACAAGTAACTGATAATATAAATGGTTAAGCTTCAAGTAATGCAGGTGTCAGATGGGACAGTGATGATCTTTGCCCACCCCATGGCTTGCAGCATGTCATTTTTTTTTCTGCAAAAGGCTCTTTGGCTTTCTGCATGCTCTTCAATGTACATCTTCTGATCTGGATTCTTCATCTAGAAATCAGGGCTCCACACAGCCAAGCAGAAGATCACAACAGAGAGGAGGCTGGCATCTTAGAAAGGAGGAACTGTACTTTGGGGGGTTGTGTTTTTTGCTCCTCTGCTTTCAGAGCTCTTGCATTAGCAACATCCAGCTCCTCTGGATTCAGATGCTGGTCACATAAATGACTGCAGGAGATCGATTCTTCTCAGGCCCAAGTTCCATTGGCACTTCTGTATATTTGCCTCTGGAAGGGTTCTCAGGAGTTGGATTATGAGTCTCCGTCAATCTATTCTTTGCTTCCATGGTGCAAAAGCTAAAACCCATGAACAGAGCTGCTGTCACCATGAAGAAGCTAGAAGCATAGAAGACATAACTAAAATGGCCTGTAAGGTCCACAAGAAGACCTGTAACACAAGAAGGTAAAAGCTCAGTCAACACATCAATGGTGGCCAACGTTTTACTATGATCCCTATCTTCTTCAAAGTGCACTGCAAACTATGTATGGCCTCATTCAATAGAGAATACAGATGCCTGTATGGAGAAACCTGAGGAATGTGCCCCTCCCCCATGCACTGAAAACTTATTATTTTAATGTATTACACCAGTTTAACCAGGGCTTTTTTGTAGAAAAAGTCCAGCAGGAACTCATTAGCATAATAGGCCACACCCAGAAGCAGAAACTCATTAGCATATTAGGCCACACTCCTGACTGCACCATTCATTAGCATATTAAGCCACATTCCCATGTTACCAGAAGTGTGGTCATCCAGCCACAACCACCTTTTGCTTTTTATTCTGTTTACCTTGTTTGTGGTCAAAACCAGGGCTTTTTTTGTAGTAGGAACTCCTTTGCATGTTAGGCCACCGCCCCCGAATGTAGCCAATCCTAATGAGTTTCTGCTATTGGGTGTGGCCTATTATACTAATGAGTTCCTCCTGGGTGTGGCCAACTTGGGAGCCAGCCGGAACTCCGTTCCTGTGTGTTCCTGCCCAAAAATAGCCCTGAGTTTAACTATTATTGGTTTCTACCAAATGATCTCAGGAATTGTATTTAAAAGTACAAAGAATGCTCAGTCAGAGATCCCTTTCACAGAACTACAGTTCCCAGGGAGCTACAAGTTTCCAGGGAGAAGGAATGATCATTTCTTGAAATTGATAGTTTATATAAGCCCAAGTTCTCATGTTCCAAAGTAATTAGTCTTCATTACAAGGTCGTTGACAGCCATCAATCCCTGTATCATGATTCCTAACCACACAGAACAGAGCTGTGCTTTGAGATTATATAGTCCAATGGATTGGGTATTGGAGTGGGCCCCCAAATCCCAGCTCAGCTATGGCACTGCTGTGGGGATTGAAGCAAATTAAGCATGCTAGATGTGATGGCCTGAATATAGACTGTGTCAGTAGTTCTCAACATATTTAGAAAGGTCTGTTTAGGTCTCAGTAATGTTACAAACTCTCAAATAGGTATACTGAATAGGGTATGTCCTCGCTTCCACCTACACCAGTGATGGCGAACCTTTTAGAGACCGAGTCCCCAAACTGCGACCCAAAACCCACTTATTTATCGCAAAGTGCCAACACGGCAATTTAACCTGAATACTGAGGTTTTACTTTAGAAAAAACAACTCATACATTAACTTAAGATGATCCAAACAAAGTAAGGAAAGCAATCCAAAATGCTTTCATTTACTTTAAATTATCTGGCAGAGAATCCCCCACTTTAATGATGGCCTGGGCCTGGCTGGGGCGATGGCACACGTGCCCACAGTACTCTTTCTTCACAACTTTGACTGCCATCTCATATAAGCTCATAAACATCCTATAGTTCTTGTAGCTTTGTCGCAGGCACGTCGCCACTGTCTCTCTAGCCGTCTTAGCCTTTTCTTCATCAGCCACAACTCCTGGGTATACCAAGGTGCAAGCTTAGAGCGAGGGCGCAGAGGGCGTCGGGGAGCGATCTCATCAATGGCTGCAGAGAGTCAGCTGTGCCACTCCTCTACAAGCTCATCTAACAAACTGCCAGGGGGCATCGGATCCCGCAGAGCCATCTGAAGCCACATTGGGTCCATTTGGCTCCGCGGGCAAGCGAAAATATGTTCGCTGCCCAAACAGGGTCGGGGTGAAACATCCAAACGGGCCCTCAGGGCAAGGTGGTCCAACCATGGCAGTGCCAAGGCAGTGATCCGGTCCACTGTAACTCCTGCCACGAAGATCAAATCAAGCGTGTGCCCAGCCCGGTGAGTGGGGGTCGTTACTTATTGGGGAGTCCCAGTGCTGCCATGGATGACACTAGGTCCGTTGCATGAGTGGAGGCCACATCATCTGCATGGACATTGAAATCGTCCAAGACTATCAGTCTAGGGTGCTCCAGTGCCCAGCCTGACACAGCCTCCATCAGGGACAGAAGGCTATTGGCCGGTGCGTTGGGCCTCCCACACTAGGCCAGCACACTCTATGCCCGCAATCTTTGGCCCTGGAGGAGTAAGCCTCCTGAATGAATAGAGCCACTCCTCCCCCCCGCCCCCTTGTCCGCGGTGAAGGACTGAGAAATCGGGAGGAGCTAACTGGGAGAGAGCTACTGTCTCCCCTTCTCGCACCCAGGTCTTGGTCATGTATGCCAGGCCTACTTTCTGCTCGAGCAGAAAGTCCCAAAGGACCATGGTCTTATTATTTATAGACCTGGCGTTACGCAACACCAATGACGGAGGGGGGCTCATTCGTCCTAGCCCCACTGCCGGCAGCCTTTGGGATGGGACGCAGGCTGGAAGGGTGCTGAGCTGTTCTGCTTCTCTGTCCTCTTCCTTTGTCTCCATGCCTGGTCCCACCACTATACTTCGCAAACCTCAGACCACTGGCAGAGCTGGTTGACACTTTTCAGGGCTTCAGACCACCAGTGGCCAGCTGGTGAAACCCCGCCCCCAAACAGAGATGTCGTGGCGTGATGATGTCACCCGGGAGTGATGTCATCACATCAGGGACACAGTGGGGGGAACGCCCTGGTTTGAGGACAAAACTCTATGGTAAATTTGCCTACAAACCACCGAGTTTTGCCTTCAAACTAGAGCATTGCTGGCGTGATGTCATCCCTTCCAGGTGACATCACATCGGGGATGTCCCAGAACACCCCCCAAATTCCCCCACTGGAGCAACAAGGGGGCCTGGCAACCCTAATCATAAAGTACTTGCTGCGGTGTGTGATTGTAATAATAAAGGTCACAAATAAATGTTGCATGTTTATAAACATGCTGTGAATAAGGGGGGAAAATATGAAACGTGACAGCCACTTTATAAAGGGCTAACTAGACACTGGCAAGTATCCAGACATCTGTGGCCTCCAGAGAGTGG